ACACACAGATGCACACAGACATCAGCTTGGATATGGAAATAATGGTTGGAGTCTTATCCCCTAATGTACGCCTTGTATAGCACCTCTGTGCAGCAGAAAACCCCTCAGCCATATTTCCCCTGTTGTCACTCCAACTCTTCTTTGACTCTGCAGGTCAGCCCACCCTTTGACACCCCCAGCATTTGTTGCACACTTCCGCCTTAAAAGTTGTACACCGCTACCTTTTGATAATCAAGATAGAAACTAATTGAGCTCACCCATGCAGAAGATGCTCTCGCCTTTTCGCGCACACACACTTTTTGAGGAGATGGGGGCCTATACTGTTTCAGCTCATCCAACTGTGAGATTCTCCTTTCCCCTTTCCAGTCTTGCCATCATCTCACTAATGGTGTTTCTATCTCTTCTCCATAGGAGGTAAATGAAGCTTTTAAGCTGGGTGGAGGGAAGGGGGACCACTGAAAAGATTAATTGACTTTCTGCAGAGATTCACTTATCCTCTGCTGGCACCTTTGACTTGTGAGTGTATTTGTGTTTGGATTACATGATTATATCACCATTATTGCAGCAATTTGTGGTTTGTTCAAAACTGTGTCAGATAATATCAAACTGTGTCCCATCAACCATTTCATCTACAGTGGCTGCTTTGTACCTTTATGCAATTAAAGCAAATTTTGGTGGCATTGTTGGTAAAATATTTTGTGATTACAAATGATTAATGTAATAAAGAGTAACTTTATTACTCATTTGTCTTATTTTTTTTGTTTTTATCTCTTGATTTTGTCTGCATGTAATTTAAAACATCTAATTCTGAGGAATAGACAGAAAGCCGGCACCACAATTGTGGGTAGGGTGTGTAGTTGTGTTATTTATATGGTAACAGAAAGAGCTTAATGCACTGCAACTTAAGAAATTAAATTAATAAAGACTTGCAACACCAATTTGACAACACATACTCTACGCAGGGCTGGGCAATAGCCTAAAAATAAAATTTATTTAGTTTTTTCACACCACATCTGATTTACTTTTTATTTTTCAATATATAAAAGACACCATATTGATGGCACCACCACATCTGTAATGTATCACTCGAGCCTCTTCTTCTCATATGGAATACTATGAGAAAATGATCTGACACGCTCTGTGTAGATGAGGGACTTAACTGGACTGGGGCTTGTTAGCTGAGCTAACAATGTTTATCTTAGTTTCAACATTGTGATAGCATGAGTCTGATGCTACTAAAGATAGCAGCCATGCTCCTAGTGACAGTATTTTACTAATTAGTTCATCCTTATTGTCCTTCAGAAACTTCCATTGTGTTATAGTTGACTTGCACATTTTTAATTTTGCTTAAAATTTGTGTAGAGTGTTTTTTCATTTGCTTTTGTTTTGACTATTAACAGTCATGGTAACACTTTAAAGTATGCCCCACATTGTACTACATATTCTGCCATTTACAGTACAATTTATTTGTACAGTATGCACTGGTACATACATAAGTACAAGGGAAGATGTGAAGTTACGGAATAAGAGGGTAACAATGTGGGAACTTTACAAGCCAGGAGTTTGGGGGAAGATGGGTTAATAGAGTTTTACTGTGATTTAAATTTTACTTACTTAGGAAAATTACATAGCTCCTAAACAACTACAGGGTACATTTGTATTTTTACATTGTCATAACAAGTACAGGGAAAAGAGTATTGTCAGGAACATACTGTTGACTTAAAGCCTATATGGTTCTGTATATGTTGTAAAGTAGCCCCATAATATTATCTACAACATAGACTATTTTTAGGTTCCACATTGTTAGCCCCTTATTCCTTAACTTCACATCTTTTCCCTTGTACCTACATAGTATATATATCAGTACGTACTCTACGAGTACAAAACAATTAGATAATGATTCTAAACTTTGCTTTATGAATAGGGATTGAACCATTAAGGGAAGTTCTCTTTGCACAATATAGGAGAGTAGAGTAGAATATAGGAGAAGACAAGGAGCTGTGCATGTTTTATGTAAATGGATGAAATGTTCCTCACTGCCTGTCAGTGAAGCAAGCTGTGATGAACTGTTTTGTAGAACAAGACTAATGGCTGTTGTCTCAGACAGTGAGACTATAAATATAGTCTTGAACTTAACTGACTCTGGTATGTAGAATCTATCCATTAAAAGTTCCGTCTAATCCAGGAGAATGCATAATTTGGTTTGTCTGCATGTGTCTGTATGTATGATAGTGGCTAGAAGACTGATGTCCTTAAATGTCTGATCCCACAACATCCTCTAGTTACACATATGTTCCTCAAGTTTTCCACCTGCCATCTTCTTTTAAACTACATCACCTCACAGACATGTTTGCTTTTTCATGTGTCATCCTCATCATACAGTCGTATCTTGTAGAAACTGAAGTAAGTTTGACTTTGACTCCCAACACTGGTATGGTGAGAGAAAAGAGCCAAATGTGTGAATGTACAAAGAGTTCCCTCCCCACCCCCATCTCTCCGCTGTAAACTCCACCACCCACAGCTGCACACACTTCTCTTGTCACGGTGATAATCTCTTTGTCAGGAGCCGTCTGTTAGAGATTTGTCCGTCTGATTCGGTGAACGTCCGAGTGGCAGGTCTAGCTGTAGTGCCACAGGGTGTCCGTGGGTCTGTGTGCGTGTGTGTGTGTGTGCACACCCAGTGCCATAGGTGGTGGAATCTCCGTCCCTGTCAGTGTGTGTATGCCGCTTGTCTTCAGAACTCTGTTTTGTGGCAGAAGAAGAATTTTGAGCAAAAGAGGAACAGATACACAAGGGAGAGTTTGCATTTTACATTTAGAAGCCAATTCAGAATCGCCTGCTCTTCAGGGTTTATTTGCATTCATCTTTATCTTTCCTTATTTTGTGGCAAAAATTTCTGGAGATATATCATGTGATGTGTCATCCATTACAAACTGTGAAATATTTAGGTTTTATTCCCGTCACTGAAAATGTTAAATTGGAAGTGGTCTTCCACTAGATGGCTCTGTTTTCTACAAAAAGTATGTTTAATCATTTTGCTCATAGATTAACAAGAAACATTGAAAATTGTGTTAACAAAAAACGTTATTTGAAATAAAAAATTACTGTAATTTGTAACTTAAGTACTGATAATAGTCCATTAATATTTTCAGTAGTTGTCAAGGGATTATTTTCATTTTTCATGATGTGCCAATCTTGTACAAGAGTTTTGTAGTACCCTGTTGATCTTAAAAAAAGCTTTATCTGTTTAGTCTTTAATCAATCCTGTAAATATAATGTGATGCTTGCTATCTTATAACAAAAACAGTTTCCCTATTGTTATAAATAGTACCCCTTTGGCCTGTATGTTGGATGCAGTAATTAGCACTTAACACTTAATTGTCTACAATATTCTACATATAATTTTGTCGCCTGCTCTGGGGAAGAGCACCTATGATCTGAATGTCTTTTCACTTTCTCCCCTTTGCAGGAATGTTTCAGGTCAAGTCCTGCTACAAAACAGCACTTCCAGAGTGGGTAATTATTCTGTAACTTTCTCAAGGACACTATGGTATTACAAGGACCTGAACGTTGTCTGGTTCTCTGGTTAAAGGATGGCCAGATGCAAACCAGGTTTCCTACTTTCACTTGTATCCGCTCACTTTTAAGGAACACTAAAGACTAAAACCTGAACTATTTGATTGCTTTACTATTACTTTATGAAAGACAATATAAATTCTGACAAAGCTGTAATTGTTGGGTTGAGTTATTGTTTCTCAAAGCTCTTTTCCTTTCTTTTGCCTTTCATCTCTCACCTCCCGACACCTTCCCCTTCCTCTATCTGTTGTTTGGTCTCCTCTTGTCACTCCACTGCAATCATCTTCGCAGGGGGGCTTGTCATCTGTATCTACTCATATCCTCCAATCCCTTTTGCTCTGAGCACTACTGCACTTAAATGTCAGGGCTGATGAGCCTGCCACACCCACCTGACACATCAGCTCAGCGCCTGCTAAAAGCTTTTATGGAACAGAGTGTGAGCCTGGTGGTTGATATAAATTAAAGCGTTCTTTTCTTCTTTTTTTTTTAGGGATTATGGCTCTAAAAGGACAACTTCTGGTGAGAAACTGGAAAGAGAGCGATTGAGAGCATAGGCTATGATTGGTTGCCATCTAGTGGCTTTGACAAGCACTTGCTGCCACATTATGATGGACAGAAAGAAAAATACAATAAAGGGAATTCTTCCGCAACTGCTAACATGACATCTTGTGTGTAATGAAAAAAAAAGGTTATTTGTTGTTCCTTTGGGGGCCCTGCGTACTGAATATAAAACTACATTGATGTGACAGATTTTTCCATATTGTGATGCAAGGGAGGTGAAATCTTAGAAAACCTTTCACATTTATTTGAATATCAAGCACAAGGGTTTCATATTGCAGTATTACTGTATAAAGATGAATTAGTTTGTCATATGTAAGTATTTTATATATTACATATATTTGTCTAATCTGTACCTGTCTTGAGCTCCTTTTACTTAAAAAGCCTTGATTACATCTTATAAGCACAGTTCTTGCTTTTAAATTTAAGTCAAATGAAGAAAAAATTGTGCAGCAGCTATTCGGGGCCAACATTTGATTATTGTCATGTAATGTTGAATATTGCACTGTACTTATATATCTTTTCACATTTTGACTTATAATAGGAAAAGAATTGGTCTAAATAATACATTTAATGATGGGCTGAATTCCATTTAGCTTCTTCAGTTGTAGGGTACTGGTATTGTGCTGGCTGATAATTGAATCGAACAGAGCCATCATTAATGCTACACTTGTAATTTTTCTACAATGACAAGTCAAAATATGTTCTATGAAACAGACCTATTGATATCTAGGAAGGTAAGTTTATTTCCTGTGATACACTTTGTTGATCCTGTGGTAAGAACTCCCAGGTTAAATGAATAAAATACACGCATGCCAGGACTAAAACAAGATTTTCAAAAACACATTTTCGTTCTTTTGCTTTATTTGTAAAACTTTGGCATTCTAGCCAACAACTTCAGTGATTGGCCAGGTATAGACAGTATGTACACTCTGAGCAATGGATGCACAACACAATATAATATGTACAATCGCAATGTATCTGCAAACACAATATATACAGTCTTACTGCTTGCCAATAGTTGTACAACACTATATATATATATACAATCAAACCTCTTTATTGGTGGTTTTGCATGACAGTATGTACAATCTAAATTAGTAAACAATATTTACAACTTTACCTCAAACTCCTGGTTGTGCGACACAATATCTACAACCTTATCTGCATACTCATAGTTGCATCAATTCAAGCTCCACCTCTTACAGATGTGCACAGATGTGCAATGCATCACAAGACATACAGTCTCAGCAAACATAATGTACAGAATTAGTGTATCTCTGCTACAGTGCTTATTAGTTACACATCACTACATGTTTTGTTTTACCTCAGACCAGTAAGTATGTTTATTAATTGTGGAGCATCATAATCTACATTCCTACTGGTAAATTGCACAACACAAAGTGCGCTACTCATTTCTGCACCCTGTTCAGTCTTACCTCGTATTTGTGATTGTACAACTTATTATTAGATACAATCAGGGCAGCAGCAATAGACAGTATGTACAATTCTCTGACACAGTGGTACCCAAATAATTTGGCTTTCAGACACTAACAGCAAACAGAAGCCTACTGGCAGCGACATGACACACTCAAACACACACAGAAATATGAACCATCACACTGAACGCAGAGTTAATAATACAAAGTAGTATAGGCTGCAGAGTTTTGCTATGAGTGTGACATTTACCACAGACCAATATGATGGTTTTATCCTGCATTTGTGTCTACTCTTAAGCCAAATAACATTTTGAATATGTTATGAAAAAACACAACAAACTACGTTCAACAAAACACCTTCATATATCACTGTTCCATCTAATCTGGGAAGTGCAGTAGTGACATGGTTAACAATAAATTTCATAAGAGTCAAAGGCTGCATTTATGGAAGACAGAAATATATACAGTAAAATTATTAAGCATATTATGAACAATAAGACTTCAATGGCATTGTTAACTTAAGTAATAATTCCCTTTGGTAGGATATTTACATTTTTAACATGCATAACACTGTAGAAGATTGATTGGAAAAATATCTGAATGACAGTGTCTCATTCAAATAGATGTTATTCTAATGTAGATCTCATGTTAGACAGATATTAGAGTAATGATTATGTAAGACGGTATTGTTATGGCTGGCCATGAATATGAAAGCTAAATTAAACTCACTACTTGGCATGTTGTTTGTGGCACTGAATACTGTGTTTTTTAGGTTCTGGTGACCAGATTAATTGGTCCCACTTTCAGCCACTGGAGCTACTATAGATACTAATCAAGGCAGGTAGCAATTTGACAGTTTACATTGCACTAAAGCTCTAAGTGTATTCTGACATTCATGACCCAAACAAAGTAAACGTCCATGTGTTTGCTCTGAATGTCAGATCAGTTCAGTTCCTTGCAAATGTATAGCATTGGCCAAACTATGACAAATGTTGTCCGAGAATAACATTTAGATAATTGTTTTTTCAATTAAAATCAAGGGCAACTTTCAGACTAAGTTTATAATCCCCACATGACTGTGTGTTTGAGTGAAGCCCTCTGTGATCAGAATGATTAATTTTAGGGTCATATTAATCGACTTCTTCAAGCCACTGGGTTTCAATCAGTTTTAAGGTCACATTTTATCTACAGGTGCAGATGATGAATGTTGTATCACATAGGGTTTAATTTGAATTGAGTGAAGTGAAGCTAATCCTGGTGCCAGCACTAGCGGACTGTTATATATGTTTTATTGTTATAGTTAATTAAACTTTGTCTCTTCTGTAAAGGTCTTTTTTGGTCTGCTACATTCATTTTATAGGCCTCCAAACACTTTATAACAAGGTTTGTGCTTTCAAGTACATCTTCTTTGATTATGTGGGGCTAAGTTTAATTTCTTTTGAGTTCCACTCAGATTGTTGAGGCTACTCCTTTTCTCTAGGGTCACAGTTAACTTTGGGATTCCCCAGCTTCTTCATTTCTCGCCGCTGGGCCAGGCTGGAGGACTGAACAGGCTCCAGGACCGGAGCAGGAGCACAGCGCCTCAGAGCAGAGTAGGTGGCAGACAATGCCCCCTAGTGGAATAGAAGGAGACCATGTCACATCATATTAATGCTAGCCTATGTACATATTACTAACAACTAAATAAGTGACAGACAGCGCCACCCGATGGACAGACAGAAAAACACATTACAAAACAATAACACATTGTTTTGCATTGTAGTAAATTTTACTGACGCTGACATTAACTCTGTTTTAAATCCAAATATATCCTAACATTTTTTTTTTAAAAGAGATCACCCATTGAGGCTTCACTCAGTGAACAGCATAAGACAAAAAATCTTGCTAGCTGCAATGCTAATTGTTTTTATGAACCACCTGTATTTGTCTGATATTCTGATAATGCACGCAGGTCTGACCTTGACAGTGAGTGCATCTTGTCTGGTGAGAGCTCTGTCAGAGAGCTGGTCTCTGTCCACAATCCAGGGGTGACGGAGAACCTGGAAGGCATCGCAGCAAAAATTATTTCAAAATGTATTTTTCAAAAACTGGTCCTAATGGTGACATATAAACAATAAAGCAAGCTAACATACAGTATACTGTGTAATAGTACCTGGGGGGCAGTCAGGCGCTGGTGAGGGTCCACATGGAGCATCTTGATCACAATGTCCTGTTTAACATATGTAAACATACACAGGTGATATTAGTATAGTATAGTTTATTTAGACAAGCCATGATGTCAAAAACACAACCACTTTATCTGTATCTATTCCCCCCCACCCAAAATGTAATTTTACCTTGGCAGTGTCTGATACCAGGTCCCAGTTCCCTCCTGTGATAACGAATTTCCCGCAGCCGATTTGAGCCAGAATTTCCTCTGCTGTGTCCTCAGAGCTGCTGGCAAACGGACTGAAACTGGCCAATAAAAATAAAAATTTACAGAGAGCAATTCAAAGGTTGGGTGAATTACAATAACCGAGAACGAGGCAGACCATAGAGAGCCATCTAAAAACTGGTTGAGACAAACCACTTGATAAATTAAATCCTCTGACTTTATAGAATCTAGAGACAATAAAACCCACTGTAGAGAGTATAAAAAGCAATAACCTTTGATTTTCACATGGGTATAATAACATTGTCTTTTATTGTCTTCACTGTTATTTCACCAGGGGAGTTCATTTAGAAAACATCCTGTTTAAAGCAGCAGGGGGAGCGTTTGCCAGAAATGGAAACATACCATGCAGTTTACACCTTTACAGAAGGTAGAAGCAGAAAGCTAAACTATAGTCTGTAGTACTATAGTCTATAGTCTGTCAGCGTTGGTAGTTATAAATGCATTTAAACTTTAAACTGACCCAGCTATTATGGTGTAGAGGAGGATCCCCAAGCTCCAGATGTCACAGGCTGCATCATAACCCTGCTTCTTCAGAACCTGCACAAACACAACACACAGACACACACACAGACACACACACACACACAAACACATCAGTCACTTCAATAGAGTGCATGATGGGATTGGTTTCTGTCATTCATTATCTTTAAATGTATTTTTGATAGCATTACCTCAGGAGCCATGAATGTAGCTGTGTAACAAGGGGTCATCAATAAGCCATTCTCAGCCCTGAGCTGTTTGGCAAAACCAAAATCACATATCCTGATGCATTCTGGGACTCCACTGTCATCAGCATAGCGAATGTTACTGGGCTTCAGGTCTCGATGCACGACCTGAAAATGGGAAAGACACACACGGACAAAAACACACATATGATTAGCAAGTTAACATTAATTATTAGTTTAACTGTTGACATTCAAGTATAGTGATAAGAAGACGTCTTATGTTAGGTTTTCTGTCCCTCCGTCTTACCCCTTGTGAGTGTAAATATTCTACAGTCTTGGTCAGTGTGCAGATGATGTCTGACGCATCTCTCTCTGTAAAGTTTGGCACCGTCAGAGCTCTGTCCAACAGCTCGTCTCCTCTCAGTAAATCCTGAACCAGGAACACGGACTGGCCGTCATCAAAAACCTGATAGTAAAACACACACATGGCTTATTAAAACTATTATAAAGAGGCTGAAGAAGTTCTGCTTGTCATGTTAAGATTTTTTTTCTGTGTTACACTTACATCCTTCAGGGTAATAATGTTTGGATGCTGTCCGTATCTCAACAGAATCTCAATCTCTTCTGATGGATCCTTCTTCGCTCTTTCAACAATCTGACACAAACACAAAACACACATGTTATGTTGAGAAAGACACACTATTGCAACTTCTAAAACGCCATATATACATGGCCAGGATGCATAAAGCTTGGGTGCATCCCTTCCCAAAATGCAAAACTCATCCACCTTATGCATATGTAATTACTACATTTTGTTTTGATTTGGAGTTACACTGTGGATGCTATGAAATACAATGAAAAAAATGTAAATGCTTTTTACATATATTTAGAGATACTACATATATATATTATAATGTTGTTGTATATGTAAATGAGTTCTCGTAAAGGTTTACTGTCCACTACCTTCACTGAATACTCCACAGCAGTGACTCTGTGCAGACATCTTTTGCAGACAGAACTCGCTGTCTGTCCAACTTCCTCCTTAAGCTCATAAACATCACTGAAGGCCACATCACCACGGAGATGCTGCAGGGAACACATGACACACACTTTTGTATTATATTTCATACATCTGTCATAGTCAAACGTGTCAGAGTCATATATTAGGTGAGAGAATATTTGCTCTGTCCAGCCGTCAGTGGCTGTAGTAATACAGTTGGCCGTGATTTATGGGGGGAATGTTGAGAAAGGTCAGCATAATTAAATAGCCAGTCTCTTAATTAATCAGTCTGTTTATCTGTCATTTAACTCATAACACTGATTAATTCAGTGATTTGTTATCCAATCAGTGTGCAAGTGTATGATTTATTTAGACATGGAGTTAGGGCATGAGTTGTTTTTCTTAAAGACATATACACATACCTGCGCAATGGGGTTTATGTTGTTCACCTCTTGACGAGAAGGCGCTACCGTAGCAACAGTAGGCTCCTGACTTTGATTAGTCGCAACAAAGCTGAAACCACGAAACAACTGGTGTGTGTTCGCACTGGGAGGGATGCCGGGAGAATCTGGATAGGCAAAGACACACAGATACAAACATGTGTTCATGGTACTTTACAGTGATTTCTAATCAAATTAAAGTCATAATAATATTTCTCATCTAGTCCAAATGCATCGTACCACCACGCCGGTGTGTGTTGTTGTATGTTTTAGTTACCAGTGGGTGTTCTGGAGGTGAACTCAGGGTCAAAATGGAAAGTGTCTTCAGGTCTTCCAACTGTGGGTTTGAATGGAGGTCTCATCTCCTTCCTGTACAACTTCTACAGAAAACAACAACAATGATCGATATCAGCATCATCACACGACAGCTGGTTAAAGCTCTGGTGCACAACATGTTGCTTTCTTTCCATTAAACTGCTGTTGGTTTTAATAATCACTGAATCCAGAATGAATAATGGGCTCAGTGGCTGCGAGCCCACTTTTCTACCAAACTAATCCCATACTGATGCAAGGTTGAATGGAAAGTCAGCAATGACACAGCCAGATTTAAATTGAATTTAGCAAATTATAAAAGAAGAGAATGAAATAAAGAATGCAAATATCCAAATTAGATAGGAAAATAATGTTTGGCCTCAATGAAAAACTCTCATTTTATAGATAGTGACAAAGAAGGACACCTCTATGATATGTAATGTCATGTGATGTCAGGTGAAAACCCTTGTATGCCCACTGTATAACAGTACACAGAGTGCGTGTCCACTGTATGTTCATTTACTTAAGTGTATTACTGGGTATTTCCTGCAGATGTCACCATTACAATGTCAGTCGTTGCCTGCTGTGAACAGTCTGGCAGGGTTTTTTTTAATTTATGGTGAGACTGTTACCAGTAATACACACTTTGTAATTTGTATTCTTTGTGAAGCTGAGATGCAGATTTTGTGAGTTGTCTTTTGAGAGAAATTCCTCAAAGATTGAAATATTGATAAAAGATTGGAGGATCACAGAGAAAAAGTCAAACAACATTCTGATAGACAACAGAGGAAATTACTCTGCCTGGTAGAGCACAGTGATTTAATTAGCATAGTGTGAAAGAGAACTTAAGCCTCTTATTGATAGCTTGTTGCATCAAGCCAGCAACACCATCTGTAAATGGGAAAATGTGATGTTTGGCAGGGGCGAGAAGGTAGTAATGTAGTGAGGAGTAACAGTGAAAGCCAGTGGCAAGGGCAGAGATTAGTGGGCATGCAAAGCAGATAATAGTGGATTTTGTTAGAAATGAGAGCGTCACTACTCACAACAGCAGATAAACAAGTGTCACAAACCTTCTAAACATCTCTGATAAAAAGGGAATGGTGCAACAGTGTGACCACGAGTGCTTTGAAAGATTTTGTTCAATCAATAAAAGTGATTACTTTGCTGAGATTTCTGACTTCTCTAGAGAACAAAACCTCTGTCTGTAACTCGAGCAAAGTCTTTCTGGTGTGTACGTCTAAGTTTGATAAAGCTACAATTGGCACATACTCTGATGTACTTCTATGTTTGGTATTTTACAGTCAAAAGCTTCTGCAGCATGAATGTTACTGACATAGGGGCTGCAAGAATAGCTTTCAGAAACAAATGTTTCAGAGCATGATTCAGTGGTGTTTGACAAGCTACTTGAATAGAAACATTGGGTCCTGACGAGACGGGGTGGATGTCAAGGTTAGATTGGTGCAGATAATGTCTGTGGCCAAAACATTTGCACATGAGCAAACTTTCTGGGGGAAAAATTATTATAGATAGAGGATTAATTACAGTAAAGTTGGGCATGGCATGCAGAAAGGGAAGTTGGGGATTTTGCCACTTTGCCAAATCTACTAAGGATGCTTAATGATTCATGATTGTGGGCAACTCTTGAGGAAGTGGATGAACAGCTGCATGGTTTTGATGACAGGATACAGGAACTATAGTCACCACAATGTGATTCAATGTTGTTCTTAGAATAAATGTTAAATTTAACTCAGGTCACTTATCTGAATACTGAATATCAGAAGTACCACTTTCAGTAAACCAGTATATGACAGTATTTGACATTTGTCACATGTTAAAGAAAAAAATGTCTGGAAAAAAGAAAAAAAAATTCTTCACCCTAACATGAAGCAACTGTGGCCATAAAACTAATATACAGTAGGTGTAGTGGTTGTTAGTAGGACAGATCTTTCCACAACTGTAGCTTATATACTTTCAAACCAAGTTAAAAGTAGCCTTGTAAATAGTGTCCTTTCTTAAAGGAAAAACAGTATTGGATATCTTAAAATGATGCAGACTACAAAATATTCTTCATAAATTGCACTTACATTCCAGTCTATTGATGCAAAAAAGCGATGTCTTTTTATTTCTTCCACTCCATCTGGTCCTGCACCTGTCAGTCACACAGATTGAGACAAATTGAGAGAATTATGTCTTTGCTCACATCGATTAGGCAAACATAAATACAAACATACAAAGAGCATGAATACATTCAGTCATTCAGTTTTGATTAAGTATTTATTAAGTAGTATTTATTAAGTAATTTATTTAGTATGAGCACCTTTCAGATTTCCAATGGACTCAATATGATTGGCTTATCTTTATTGGCATACTGTAGGAAGACTGTAGAAGTTGTCATCAGGATGAGGTTTAATAGCATTAGCTCCCAAGGTCCGTATGTGTAACGTGTCTCATGTTAACTGACTTAACTTTTTTTGCAAAGTGTTCAAAATTATTGATTTCATTTAGGTTGCTACTATCATCTGTAGCCTTATTGTCCCTTACATTTTGCGTCCCACCACGTAAGAACTTACCTCAAAAATTGGTAATCAAAAACAGCAAAAAAATGTAGAGCGATTATTCATTATTAGTTTCCAAGGTTCATGTATACAATACCTAGTCGATTAGCGGGGTTCCTCTTGAAGAGTGCTCTTAATAAACTCTGCACTTCAGGACTGAGGAACTGTGGCATTCCCAACTTTGCCCTGCGCAGACAAGACAAGAAGCAGGTTTATGCACGCACATATGTTTGGTAATGTCTTGATACATTAAGTAAGTAAGAATATAGTGGGATATCCTGAGATTGATCATTTAAGGTTCATAAAAGCAGTTTAGTAACATCCTGTACATGTATATGAAGAAAATCACATGTACACCACACTAAGAACAACACACTAATTAAACATCAGTACCACAAGAAAACAATAACAACATTGTTAAACAAATGATCTATAATAGTATATAAAAATCTAAACCCAAATCATTAGGAGTTGGTCATTCATAAAAGGCTTTAAGAACCACTGAATGGTAACAGTGTGAATTGTTCTTACTTTAGAATAAGCGCCATTGTTTCCTTACGATCTTTTCCTTGGAATGGTAATGATCCTGTCAACATCTCAAACTGCAAAACAGATGATAACATTTTCAGAACACAAGGCAGCTGGCCAATTAAAGGGTAGACGTGGATGGATTGTTTTGTACTTTTACACTCATTGCAAGTTTCATAAGTTAGAAAAAGGAAAAATTCAATAGATAATTTGTAAAGGCTCAGCTATTTGTTAGTTTTAATAGTTGTATATTCATAATACTAGACAAAGGCACATAGGGGTAGCACTCTTCCCTGGTGCCCTGATGTAGCTGCAAGCTGTCAGTGAATGTTAACCTCCTTTTCAGTATTAGTAAAATAAGCCACCAGCCTAACAAAACAAGCTGAATCCAACAGATGCACGATTACTGAAAGTGATGGGACCTAATCTGCCAGATACGGTAATTGAGCAGCTTTACTGCCAGAAGAAAGCCAAATTAAGAAACCGGTACACTAGCACATTAGACAAGAGCTGAGTCTTGGCTCATAAGATATAGTAAAATCAGACCTGCTGCTTTTGACAGCATGATCAGACAAAACTTGCAAGTCAGTAGAAAAAGTGACTATGTACTCAGAGTAAAGATCACAGGCTCAAATAAAAACTGAAAATAGGCTACCAAAATAAAATACTGTTTTAAGATTAAACAGTTCTTACCATAAGTACCCCAAAAGACCACCAGTCAGCACTTTGTGTATGCCCTCTCCTGTTTACTACCTCTGGAGCCATGTACTCTATTGTTCCACAGAAAGAATATGCTCTTTTATCATGGTCGATGGCCTCCTTACTCAGTCCAAAGTCTGAAACAGAGAAGCAGAGAGAGAGACAGACAAGGGGAGTGGGGACAAGGGAAGCAGAAATACTTAAGTAAAAGATGAATAGAAAGACATAAAATTGAAAGACAGAATTGTTTGCCGTTGGAAGCACTGACCAGTTATCTTAATGTGCCCTTCTTCATCCAGAAGAATACTGTTGGAGAACACGAACATTAAAATCTGTTTTAAAAAATCATTTTGTAAAAGAAATGGATACAAAAAGGGTGCCTTTATGAGCCTTTACTTTTCAGGTTTGAGGTCCCTGTAGATAATCCCCAGACTGTGTAGATGGTCCAAGGCCAGGGCCAACTCTGCGAGGTAAAACTTCACATCCTCTTCTGTAAACATTACCTAGAACAGATAGAGAGATAGATGAGATTAAAAAGACTAAACAAAGAAAGATAAAAAAGGAACTGAATACAAACATGAGCATGTAAAAAATATCATAAAACAGTAAATTATATTACTAACATATAAATGTTGGCATCTAACTCTCTAAGTCAAACGTCTTAAATGTGGTAAGGGTCTCTTGGTGACATTAAGATGCACTTTTTCCATTCCTCTTATAACAGTAAAGAAAACTACTCTTTCTTTCTCTCATTCATTTGTTGTTTGTTCTTTCTTCACTCTAGAAGAATAGTCTGTGTTGGGAAAACCGCAGTACAACAGACAAAATTAGCGTCCCACTGCAGCAAAAACAGTGATTGCTTTAGACTTGTGGGTCTTAATGGAAAAACAAACCAACCATTTCTCATGATGCATCAGTATGACAGTAACAGAGGGGAAGGTCACATCAACACAGCATTCACAAGGAGAATGATGGCAGGTATATTCACTCTTGGTGATTCTGTATCAGTTTATACAGAATAGCCCATAAGATTGAAAAGTAAAGGCTTTTAATTCTTTTAGTGGAAATGGGGAACAAGCCAGAGAGCCTATCAGGAGCAAACCTACCTCCTTTGACAGACGAGTGAAAAGGTCTCCTCCTCGGAGGAAGTCTAGGATCAGATAGAGCTTTCCCTCTGTCTGGAAGGCTACACACACACATACACACACACACACACACACAGGATGTATTTAAAGAACAAAAGGTATACGTCGTGCACATGCAGCCTCAGCAGGGCAGGTGTGGGACGAAATCAGCAACATCACAGAATTTAACCCATGGACTATTGTGGTGCATGGACTATTCTCTTTTTTTTCCTCATCTTGTTGTATTCAATCCTCAATCCAAACTAATTTTTACTTTCTCTAAAAAAGTGTTTAGGTGTCACAACTCCCAGTTTCTTCTGAAATGAAATAATGGCACTCAGTCGCTACATTTAAAAAAAAAAAGTTCCTTCCTTCCTCCTTTTCTTGCTTTTCTCTCAGAAAAGAGGATCTTGTTTGTTATAAATGGGAATAAAGTGTAATTTCAGAGAAAGATAGCTTATTCAAATCAGACAGTCAGACTTACCATAGTGCAGTTTAACTATAAAGGGATGGTTCACTTCTGCCAGAATGTCTCTTTCCATCTTAGACCGCACGCGATCCCGGACTGAGGAGATAGTGGGGCAAGAACATAATGTTCAGTTATTTATATCTGCGTGCAGATAAATTACCACAAGCCTCTAATAAAATGAGTAGGTTTTCTGTAGATTGAAACTGCATTTACCAGATTGAAAAATGTCAATTGAATTAGACCTATCCTATGTTGCTGTGGGTCTATAGTGCAGTGGAAACTACAATAACAGTACTATTGCAGCATCTGTCTCCTTGACAGGATGAGAGCATAACTATTTAAATTCCAGGGGTGCAGGTTAAGAGGATTAAGCCTTGTACAAAGACAGTAAATCAGCACATGACATCTCAACCTGCTTTTACAGTACATCCTCATTTACAATAATCCTATTCGTCTCAAAACAGTTTATCTGCATCAAAAGTACAAACTAACCTGTTTTACCCCAATGTAGGCCACTCTAAGAACTATGACATTCATCTCTTTTCATTCTTGTGCACGACCCACAGTAGTCTTAACAAATAACCAGTCAGCACCCAATAAAGAACAAAGATGTTATTGCATCTGAGTACTACTTGAACTTGCAAGTACATTAACATCACAAGAAAAACATCCTCAACAGACACTTTTGCTGTTTGTTTTGTTATATTTTCTTTTATCTTTAAACTTTCCCTCCAAAAATATAGTTTGTTCTTTTTTTGTCAAATAGCTGCATGAGCCATTTGTGGCACTATAAAAAGATATTTTAAATATAACATTTGAGCTTCTCATTTGTACCTTTCAGTGTGGCTTTCTTCAGGACCTTCATGGCATACAGCTGTCCTCTGTCCAGTCCTCTGATCTTCCTCACCAGAAACACCTGGAAGCATCACCATCATTCATCACTGTCATCGTCACAGACTATTTTGTAATAAAATGTTTGTGACAATTGAAAACACTACCTTAACATTTCAAAAGACCCTTTATAGCAGCATTAGTTAAACATTAAAACACAAGTAGAATATTAATACTCATGCCATTCAGGTGTTGCTAATCAGTGCTGGAAGGTAAGTAAGTACATATTAGTAGAAATTGAAGGTACTTGTACTTTACTTGAATATTTCCATTTTTGCAACTTTATAGGCTCCATTACATCTCAGAGGCAAATATTGTACTTTTTACAGCTTTACTTTTGTCTGACAGCTTTACTTACTAGTTACTTTACACATTACAACGTTTCATGTATCTCCAAAATTTATAACAGGTATTTTTTAAAAACTGATAGGTTAAGTGTTCTTTTATGGGGTGAGAAAAATCTAGTACTTCTAAAGCTAATTAAAGCACTTAAAACCCACAACAAACAATGCATACAGTTAAAACATCTATAGCAGTAAAACTCATGCACGCACCAGTACGTTAATATTAATCCAAAAACATCATATATAATAGTAAAACGCTGCATAAACAGTTTTTTCAATACAGTAAGTAAATATAGCTTAATACATTATTTTACATACGTTTTTGAATGCAGCATCTATATGCAGGCACTGCATTTTCACAGTGTGCTACTGTTAGAGCCAGTTATCATTACAGTTTTTAATGACAATGGTGTTCCACTGTGAGACAGAAAACAGCTATGATATACACCTGGTTGTCGAATGCTAATTGAGCCTATATATATATTTAAATATATAGCTAGCTATGCAAACATGCTAACCAGGCCAGCTGTGACCTCATGTGCCTGCCTGTGGCTAACATCTGCTGTGGTTTCATGTGTGCCCAGTGCAGACCTCTAATCTACAGTGACACTGACAATTCAGCAGGCCTTCACTGATTTAAATGAACATACTGACCTGTGGCATGAGTTGACATTCTGCTCATCTAGAAATAATCTACAAAATCTGACTGTCCCAAACAGAGCCCTGATGAATGCCCATTGTCTCTGAATGAGTGTGCACACACACTTTGGCGCTGTGTATGTGTGAAGTCCAGATATTCGGGTAGAACTGTAGTCACATTTTTACACTCAGTCCAAGTGGCGTTAATGCTATAAACGTGTAGTACAGCTGAAGCCACCTAACCTAAGTAATCACCTACTGGGTGAGCCATAGTAGTCCGCCTAGGGTGGACCTACTGTGAGGGATTATCTTTTGGCTGGTGGTGTCAACACTGATCTCCTGTCTTTCTCTTCCTGTCCCAGTATTCTGAGCCAATGGATTTGAGAGAACCTGTTTTCTCTCAAATTCCCATTATATGAGTTGTGGTTTGAACTATTCAGGTCTCAGAGGTTATGGTTAAAATGTGTATCCTGTACCTTTCCATAGGAGCCCTGTCCCAGTACTTTAAGCAGTTGGAACTGAGAGGGGTCTGCTTTCTCACAACCCTCCTTAACATGGTGGCTGATGTCAATCTCCTTAAGTATACTGTCATCCTGAGGAAAGAGAGACAGACATCATGTTATAAACAAAGAGAGAAAAACTGAAAAGCCAAAAACAACTGAGGAGATAAGGAGTAACACCTGTCTTAAACGTGATGAAATATATTTTACAGCGTCTCAGCAGTTGTGAAATATTGTTCAAGTAACATCCATATAGATAAAATAAACAAATAATAAATACATAAATCTCATTAATACATGCGCACAGACACAGGTGGTTATTTATGAACCATTATGTTAGTGCTGGGAAGGTATGGGCTGAGGTCATGGGCAGTGATGCATAGTGTAAGCTTCCTTTTTTCAGCCTATTCAGTCTGCTTAATGAGGCAAATGATCAACTACCAATCTGAGGCATTACTGAGATTGGTCAGTGTGGCAACATACTGTAATTCTGTAAAGATGTCAGTGTCATTTGGAAGTTAAGCTTTACACCCCACTTTCAATCAAGTATGAAATACTAGTTAGTATAGATGTACTTAAATGTTAGTAAATCTTGAACAGTAATGGTTGTAAATTATATTTTCTTTTGATATCTTTCATGAGTTTACTTATTTTTTCAGAACTGTTGTGATCAGGCCTTCCCTGAGGTTTTTGTTTCTCAGGGAGGAGGCACTGAGACATTCAAGTGCAGCTTGGCATGGTTGAAAAAATGCAGAAAATTGGGGGTTAATACTGTTGTCATGTCCATGTTGCATACATACTATACTGTGCGATTTATGAGATATTTTACAAGCTAAATGTACTTTCTAGTCTATTTTGGGTGGCTAAATCAATCCAATATACAATGTTTCTATAATGATATGAGATCCCTATCCCTCTATTTGCAATTAGACTAATTTCTAAGTAATAATAACTAATTACTTCTAAGACTGAAAGTCTAAATGAAGCTAAAAATAATCAAACTGTCACATCTGTTCCTGCTAAAACAGGAAGTTCTTTGATGCCGTCTCTGTGGTGAGTGTTATTGACTCTGTGAATAACACAGCAAATATGGTTCCTGTTACAGTTTACCCTCATCAAAAGAATGCAGCAAAGCAAGTTATCAGATCTCAAATTCAGAATTTTTTATTTATTTTTATTTAAACAAGAACAGGGATGATAACTCCAATTGTTTTTCGGAGCAGTTTCACTTGTAACTTTTTCTTCTAGAAATGCCATAAAATGTAAATAGATTCATATTGCAACAAGTGAAATTATCTTTCTCTCTTGCCAGTCCTCAGTAATGGAGATAATTACAAACATAGAGGTTTTAGATACTAAAGGAAGTGTAAAACTAAGCAAACCTAGTGCAGATCCACACCCCACATGAAATAGTCAATGATCTCAATGGATTTTCAACCACAATATCTTACTACAATTTTCACAGCAGAGTTTGTGCAAATGCGCAAAATAATTTCAAATTCAAATTCTAGTATGTGTACCAAATTAGAGTCACTACATTATGTAAATCAGGTATTACAACATGCATATAGTGTATTAGTGTAAACAGCATTTGTGTTAATATGAGATGGTTATATTCTAAGCACTGAGTGTGTGAGTTAGGGTTTGCACATTGAGTCTAACACAAGCTCTTTGCAAACTATAACAGAAGAATCAAAGCTATTATAATTTAGTTTTGACTGATTGGGGTGTGGCTTGAAGTGTAACAAGCTGCAAAGTTTCAGCCTATAGAGAGTAGTGCGAGCAGTTTGCCTTCTGTGATTCATTGCTGTTTTATTTTTAAAACAGAGCAGCAGGAGTGACGCCTCATCAACCAGAAGGAAACAGGTTCAAGGTTGCAGGATCGTGAACTCTAACCTTCCCATGAAGGGGAGGGATGTAAAAAGCAGGAATTCCCCACATGGAGCATTCAAGGCATCATGCATTGGAGAGTCAGCCAAACAGGTAAACACAGACAGCCAGAAAGACTAACTGTCACACAAACAGGTAGATAGACCTGTCAAGCTAATTCATCAGCAATCACAACAACAAAGGCCACAGGATGGGGAGGGGGGACTTCATTTCTATTTATATCTCAAACATACAGGTAGATACAGGTACTGCAAACAGCACAGTGCCTCTCTCTCTCTTCCCCGCTGATTTGTTTGGGCTATAAATAGACCACCACTGCTGTGGCCCTCCACTGAATCAATCTGTCTGTATCCATTTATCTATCAACCTGCCTGCCTGGCTGCTTGTTTGCCTGTTAGCGTTTCTGTCTGTCAGATTGTATTTCCATGTAGCCTGTCTCTCTCTCTCACTCTCTTAAGTCAAAACACAGTGTCTCTCTGCCCCTCTGTTTTCTGGATTCCTGACAGACAGACAGAGCAACAGCTGTAATGATGCTGCAATGACTCCTGGAGCCCTCCACAACAAACCAAATAACACGCATTCTTCCCACACCCATTCCCATGGGACTCTTCACACACACGCTCATTTACTGTTGATGTGAGACGGCTGTTTTTGTTTTGTTTTGGCCTTCATATTCATACAAACTCACATTGTGCAACTGTGATGCAGTCCCTCCACCTCCCCTTCCAGCACATACAGATCCACACACACATGTACCAATCTTTAGTTGATGTAAGTTTGTACTGTGCCTGGGTGTGTGTCTAAACAGCTTGACTCACCTCTAGTTGACAGAAGCCAGTGGTGTTCTTGTTCCTCGCTGCCTTGTTCTTCAGGTAGATAGAAAACCATCTCCGCACTGTGAATTTTCGCGTGCTTGTATCCATGGCAACGGGCAGACCTGTGCATCTATCCCATAATGATGAACATCTCCCTGCAGGAGGTCCTAAGGTAGAGACGCAGAAACGGAGCTTTTCTTTTTGCTGGTTATCTATTTGTCCCGCAGTTTATTCATTGGCCCGTCCTCAATGCAGTCGTCGCTTTTTAGTTTTCCCATCATTCACATTTGCTGCCCGTCTCTCTGGTGGGGTTTCCGCCAGTCGTTTCCCCACTCCCGTCTCTCAGCTGCAGTGAACGCCAGTAAGCACGCAGTCAGAGTTGTAACAGAGCCGTTAATCTACGCAGACAGACAGGCGGGTGGACGGACGGGGCAGGTGCCGCCGGGTTTGGGATTGTCTTGTTTTGCAGCAGGCTCACTGCGTGAGGCTGCGAGGAGAGGTGACGGATAAATCTGTTCCGCTGAATCAGGAGAGGTGTGTGTGAGCTCCCTCTTCACATCTCTGCCGGAGCATGTGTGTGTGTTCATCCCCTGCTGCCTCCCTCTCCCTCTGCAGAACAAGGGATTGTCACCAGTCACATTGTGTACCAGCGAGCTCCCAACCCCTCCCTCCCTTATTCTCCCCTGTTACTGCCCCTCACCTCCCTCTCTGTTTCTCCCACCAGCATACAGCAACAGCTGGCGAGGTCACATGGTGTAACCCAGCTACCTCTCTCTGTCTCCCTCTTCCTCTGTCCCCTCTGTTTTGCTCCTGCATGACATCCCAATAACACACACGGATACAGACGGAATACAAAATTATGGCAAAATAAAGTAGAGCCTGAGCAGTAAAGTTAGTAGAGCCCTGTGGAAATGTGTGTGCCTCAGATTCAGTCACATTGCATCAGAATTCAATTAAATTTGAGGACAGCAATCAATGTTACAATCAATAATGATGACAGAAGCAAGGGCAGCAATCACATAGAGTACAGTGTGATCTGGTTGATCACAGGGCATGTGTGTGAGTGTGTGAGTGTGTGTGTGTAGGTACTTGGATCTGTCACATCAGCAGCTTTGCAGAACTGCAGTGTTACATAAGGAGAGAGGGAGAGAGAGAGAGGGAGGGAGAGAGATGGAAATAGAGACTGAGAGGGGGGGTGGGCTTTATTAGATGGAAGCAGAGGGTAAATCAGGACTGCTGCTCTACCTGGGTCATGTGTCCGTAGCTGACCAGAGCTGTCATTTTTCTAAAATAAAGTTTCAAGTTCTTCAGCCAGGGTAATTCACCTCAAACGCCCAAACTATGATCCCCAAACTTGGAACGTCACTAAAACCAGAGCTCATACAAACAGTTTTTTCATGTTTGACCGGATTTGGACCACATTTAGAATAGCTGGCACGTAGTTTCGGGGCATTTTAGCACTATTGAATATGTAATCAGATGTGTTTAGTCAATCTGCAGTAGTGTTGTGGGAGGAGATTCAGGATTATGGACTGGTGTCTTTGTCCCGGTAGGATTAGGTCTATGTAAGGAGATCACGACATTAATATTCATACGCACAAAGTAGATCTGGACAGATAGACAGACAGGCTGAAATATAGTACTATTACCATACTGTATTATATACTACATGACAGACATACAGACAGAAGATCCCTTTAAAACCATCCTGACACCACAATTTCAGGCAGATCATCTTCTATATTTACACCAAGCTCTATTTACAGGTTCACCTTCAATTACATCATTCAAAAATGCCAATAGATACACTATCAATATTGGATGTTACATAACCACAGATGACTAGGAGGCAGATTGACTACACATTGAATATTTTATTGACATTTAAAATAATTACAGTACAAATGTTGATTTCATACCACAGCATTTGTCCACTGTAGCTGTAATTACAAGAATCACTAACATTTCAGCTTAAACTGCCTTGATTTGTCTATGGCAAAAATTCCAAACAGCATCAATAAAAACAAATCATTGTAGAAATCAATGGGGGTAAAATAGTGTTTACCAAAATATGTGCTACATCCTTGAGAAACAAGCATTTTATCTGTACAGGCAAAGATTATGCATAATGAAGTTGACATCTTGTGTAAAGTATTGTGTTTGGGGTGTGTCTCGAGCTTTTGAACTCCTATCTACTAAAAATGAAATATGCAGAAAAGACTATACCATTTACTTTATACACCATACACTATATTTACTTTCTGGTCTATACATAATGTATAAACTATTGGCTTTAAGCTCACAGAGGTGACAAATGGCCCTCTTTCAGCAACACAGACACAGACCTAACCAGGCGTGCAGCACAACACTGAACAGTGGATTATTACTTCACAAGACATCAGGTTACTAATCATTACTACCACTAGTTTATAACATGTGAAAAATTATGATGTTGCAAAGCAGCAGTGTTGGGCTAAAATGATGGCCCTTGCCCCAAAAGCGCTCAAACATATGCATGTTAGCCAATATTATTTCTGTAGTGATTTAATCATAAAGAATAGCTGCTGTCTTGATATGCTGGATTAATTACTTATCAGAAAAGTGGCAAAAGCATTTATTTGATAACTAAACACAATCACCCCTGCAAAATATGTGGAAAAATGTGGTGTAAAATATGGTTAGCGGAATGAGATCGTACACACTAGGGTTCGACATCTTCACAATCAACATGGAAGACTCGCCTGCGAATTTGACAAAAGGCTCCACTCATGTGCCGATAAGATTCAGGCACATTAAACTACCCGCCTGCCTGACCTGAACTCACCATAATGCCTCCTGTTGAGCTGTGGATCGGATTCATCTACTAGTAAAGGTCAGGAAGGGACATAATACCATTAAAGCCCTAAGTAGTAGTGGAGTCTGTGTGTGTGTGTGTGTGTGTGTGTGTGTGTGTGTGCCATGGCTTTTATAGGATATAAAAAGAATAATGCACTTAAAGGTGATTTTTTCAAGTACCTGTCACAGCCAGAATTTTGATGCAGTTAAAAAAGGTTTTCCGACTGCACTGATATGAATAGGCTATATTTGACAAAAATTACCATTAAAAAAGGTATGATGTTCATTGTGAAGAAAAAAACAACAACATAGCTAGTCAGTGTGTGTATGTGCATGCTAAATTACAGTACAGTTGACTGGTAAACAAAGATTTTGTCTTTGAGTGTATGTAAAAGTAGGGTTTTAGTGCGTTTTCCATTTCAGTTTGTATGTGTTTTAGGTGGAGGGTAGTAAACGGGCAAATCATGGTCACACACACTGAACCCAGATGCCTTGTCAACAGCCATCGGCTTGTCCCAATCTCTCTTAGACACTGTTTCCATGCTAAACCGTGTCTCACAGTCCAGGAGAGTGAAGTCAGTGTTGAAACAGATCTCAATCTGCCCCAAAATCTGGAAGTCGGCATTCTGTCAAACATAAAAGCATATAATTTAACAATATGTCTGCCAACGTTTGAAATTTAAGATTAAATACAGCTATACCTGACGCAAAGAAAGCACTTAAACATTCTTGAGAAGTAGCATGCAAAACACAAATAGCAAATTAGGATTTTTTTATTTGACTGAAATTAGGTTTTACATACCTTTGACGGATGGACACACTGAATCTTAGGTTTGATGCCGTAGAAGTTCTCAATGACGCCTTCAATTTGTGAAAACTACACATGGGAATAGCAAACGTTAGAGGCAATAACTCATGCCACAGATTATTCCTTACATATCACTAATATTTGGGATTTTAAAATACCTTAATTAGACGTTAAAATATAAATAGACTTACTGTGTAGTATTTTTCTGAAGGGATGATGTCAAACTTCTTCAGGATGCTACAATTACAGAAACACACATTTGTATTTGAGGCTTTGAGGTGCTAATGCTTTTATTCAGAGTGACTTAAAGTCTTAAGTAGTAAAGGTAACTTAAGTATATAACAGTAGTCAGTTTCTGAAACCAAAATGTGGACAGACAAACGCTCACAGGATTAGCAGGAACACCATGACAGTACTAAGAGATGAGACACTAGACATTGTTTCTGAGGACAGAGGCGTGCGTATGTGCATGTGTGAGGGTGTAAATGTGTGAAAATGTGCTGTACCTGTCCAAATCCACTTTATGGTATAGTTCCAGTGCCTTGCCAAAGTATTTATGCTGACTATTCAGAGAATCTGCTTTGGCTGCACATGTGCCATGTTTGTGCCACTCATACTTCCTGTTGAAACAGACAGACAAACAAAGAAGTAGCGAGAGGTTTTACTATCATCATGTACAAATTTACACCAGGAACACACTACATGATAATTATCATCACAATTTGGCTAATGATGACTGACTTCAAGATCATAGAACATCTTCACTGATCAAAAATAGGGAGTTCACCATGGGCAGAAGACACACAATATCTCGTGGTGTGCGGGGGTCTATTTGTCTGTTGAAAATATTAGAAAAAAATAGGCTGCGTTACCTTTTTTCTAGTATATTCTTTCACTCACAAATCTGTTCTTTACAACAGCACGTGAGTCGTGTGTGGGCAAGGCTTGTTGTTAACCATGTTGGTTTTGATTGAAACAGTCAAACCCAACGTGGTACCAAATAACATCAGCACCAACTGGTGTGTTCACTGCTGTTCACTCTTGATTTACCTAGTTTGTGCTTGTACAATATTCACCATGTCCACATCAGACAACATCGTTTCTAGATGCTTTGTTGAGGCAATGGTGCAAAACGGATTGTGAAGAGAAGTGTAAAAATATTTTCTTTCCATAAGGAATCTGTGGTGGGACAAGTTAGATTGTGGTGGGCCGCCACAGCCTAGGTAAATAATAGGAGACACTGATCACTATTATACAATACAGTAGTTATTATCACAATACCAGAATCCAGCAGACGAGGGGTTAAGCAAGTCAGGCCAACTCTTCTTCATGTCTGGAAGCAGATCCTGAAAACACACAACCAAAAACAGATTTGTTTTATATATCAGTATACCAACTGGAGAAGAGGAGAAAATCATTCATTTGCCTTCCAAAAGTCAGTAATGCCATTTCTACTGTCACACTTAGTCTGAACAATATTGTACCTCTATTTGAGAAGAGTTGAAATGCCACGATGAATTGCAGTCAATCCCTTTATCTGGCCTGGAATGCAGAAAGATTCACAATATTAGATGATATTTTCTTTGTGCCAGAGAGAGAGAGAGAGAGAGAGATTCAACAGGTAGTTGTTCAGTAATATCTTATCTGATTAAAAACCACACACACATACCAGAGTCCATGCAGTGTCCAGTAGCTAATGTTGGGATGACAGTGTTCCATCTGGAATTTATATTAAAAAAATAAATAATTGTACCGTTATTCCATCTGAACACATAAACCTAAAACTTTATTCTGTTTAGTAATTAATATTCACTAGTATCCAGCTGGCAGTGTCTCATTGAGCTGAAATATAGTCACAAGCTTAATGAAGACGCAAGATTAGAAAAAGATTGAAATGAACAAAAAACTAATTTTTAAAGTAGCTACAAAGGCTGAAACTAATGATTATTTCTACTATTGATCGTTTTGTGAGCCAATACATTGTTTTGTATATTAAATATCAAATATGTATTCTTTAATTTGTATGACCAAAAAAACCTGAAGGCATTATTAATGTTGTAGTATTTAGGGACGGTGTTACTTGATAAAAGACTTGATTGATGACATGAACTATCACTTTAAGTGATTTAATATTGGCCAACCACCTAAAACAAAAAAAGTTCTTCCTCTTTTCCACTGTGCAGAGTCACACTGTTGACTAAATAAGGGAACTGCAGAAGTTTTGTGGCTTTGCCGTTTAGGATCTGCATCTTTTTCTTGGTATATCCAAGTTTAAATCATAAAGCAAAATGAGACCTCCAGCAAATGAACAGAAAACAATTCCCACCCCAAACAGAAACGTATGCCAAGACCACATTGTTGCCAATTCAAACCTTCTTCTGACATACAGCCAGGCATATGACACAAAACGATTCAATCAGAAAGGTTCTCAGCAAACATAAAAAGCGTGATAAGTTTGGTAAGAGTATAAAAAAAATGGGATGTGTTTTTTGTGTCGTGACATGAGTTGAAATCACATGCTCACGTGTTGAACAGAATGCTGCCTAATCAAACCAGACTGTTGACACACAGCCTGTCTCATGACTCATTGACATCACGTGACGTATAAGGATTCAATGAGTACTCAGTGATATAGTATATAGGTAACATAGATGGGCAATATAAGAGGGCAACATTGTCTCAGAATGGGACACAGTGTTGTTAAACAATTTGTCAAAATCATTAGATTATTATTATCTAACGCTGCCCTCAATTTGTCACTTAACTAGGCTTATCTAAACTTATACAGAGTATCCATGAAACAGTAAGTGATTACGTTTCTTTTTTTGAAATGTGTTTTGACTCTCACTGGATTACAGTGGGTTCCATTGTAATCCATGGCTAACCTACTTTGGTGCAGGGTTTTTATTCATTTTTGCCAGTGCAGGAATAGATCCAACCAGACATACATATAATAATTTGGCTAGGTCCACACATATAAGGTTAATGCTGGAGTAAGAATGCACACAAAGCACAAAACACACCAAAGCTCACGAGGCTCGAGTCGACTGTGAAAACTGAAACCTGACTCGTCAACCACAGGCTGCTGACAGTGTAGTCAACAGGAAACTTCTTTGTCACAGACGTCTTATATTGATTCAGTGAGTTCAGTGAGTAACACATGGTTGGGGTAAAAGGGATAATAAAAAAATAAAAATAAAAATAATAATAATAATAATAATAATAATCTAGAGTTAAGAAGATTCCTCACACATAGAATTTCACGTGTCCTTTTTCACAGCAGATATTTTGACTTGTCATAGTAGGAAAGGCACAGGTTTTACTAATAACATAAACAATGGCGCTGTTCTGTTCAAGCAGCTAAATGGCAATCAATTTGATCAGTTACAACTAGTCTCCTTCAACTGTGATACGTCAGATTGGATTCTGTAAAAAAAAAAAAAAGTCCTATTGCATCTTTAAAAAAGGTCAAAATCTTAAAGAAAAACAAATAAACAACGCAGGAAGAAACTCACACTACAGAAGGTGGTCGGCCAGTGGTGGGTCAAGATCAGTTTGGTCCACATGTGCCTGAAACACATACATTAAACAGAATGACTCATCATTAAACATACAAATGGAGAAGGAGAGCTTTTACATGCATCTACATGTACAGTATATCATTTTGCTGTACTTACGGAGGTGAAATCACAAAAGCAGAGGACAGTGCTACTGCCAGGCAGAGCAGGAGAGGAGCGCAGAGCCTCATGTTTGACCTGAAAGAAGATAACAGCTTTGTCAGTTAACGGCCCGTTTTAGCCATAACTCTGTATTGAGCATCAGAATAAGCCCATGTTCCTGAAACATCCACATAACAACACAATTAAAACAGCATTCAGAGTGGCTGTGGAGAATAAGTACATTTGTGAAAAAAAAAATAGTGGTTTTTCATGAATCCATGTATGACAAAAATGTTACAAGTTGTCCTGGTTCACTAGGAAAAGAAGAAAACGGCACCTGAGCACATTGACTGACTAAAGGAGAAAAACAGGTTGTGGCTTCCACTGGGGGAAGTGATAGTGATAAAAAAAACTCCTGTGACAACTTAATTAGGCAATCAACATAAACTTCAACCCATCAGTCTCTAACACAAATACACAAACAACGACATGAAATATATTTGAAATGTCCCTCCTGCACACACATTACCTGGGCCAGTTCCCTAAATAATTTAGGAAGACAGACTTTATGGATCCAACACCGGGGGAAATGCATGACGGGAAACAACGATATAAGAAATAACCCAATTCTCACACTGACAGTGATTAGGATTAGGAGAGGATAGATCTTTTCTGCTCCCCTGTTTGTGTAAATACAACAACAAGAAAACACTGCCAGAGACAGTTAACAGTCGCTTCCTGGCACAGCAGTGTAACAGCAGGAGGGAAAAAATGGTGTCCGACAATAACACGTTAACACTCTCGCACTGTGAAGTACAACTTGCATGTTTATGGTTACATTTTAAACGACTCATAAACACTGAACTGTAACTCAAGTGAACAAAAAGATAGCGACGGGCCACTTTGAAGTCAGTGGTCAGGAAGAAGTTGTTAACATGTTTCTGCAGTTAACAACTCAATGTAAAAGCTACGCTCCTAATCTTGTGAAAACCGGCCTAAAAAAAAGCTCCAAGTACTATCTTAAACATTAGCCTGCTAACCTACTGAATCTTCACTCAGAGCAATTATTATCGCTACGTAACCACTAAAATGACACAGCGATAAACTCAACTTCACTTTAAACATACATGCAGTGTTTAAATCGGTCTCACCTTGTATAGGATA